TATATATGTATATATGTATATATGTATATATGTATATATGTATATATGTATATATGTATATATATGTATATATATATATATATATATATATGTATATATATATATATGTATATATATATATATATATGTATCTCTATAATTTTTATAATAATAAAAAAAAATAGTAATAAATTAAAAATAATAATAATAAAATTAATCATGACATTCATATATTATTTTAACATATTAATAATCTAATTGTATCAACTAAAATTTATTTTTTAATATATTAAAGTTATTATATTACTAATTGTATAATTTTTTATTTTAAATTCCTTTATTTTTATCTTCTTTTTCTTAATTTGAAGAACATCACTCTCACTTATATTTTTCTTTAAATCCATCAATTCAAATTCATCCAGAAAACAAATATACTTATACTGTGTTTGTTTTTATAGATGAATTTGAAGAAAGAAAAGGAAAAATAAGATTATTTGAACTAAGAAAAAAATTATAAAAAATGAAGGGATATTTGAGAAAATTTCAAAAGTTTGTGAATGACAGGATATGTAAGATAGATTAAAAAATGTTTTAATTATTAAAATTGAAAGATTATCATTTTATTTTTTACCATAACATAAGTTAAAATAAAAATATAAAAAATGTAAATTATATTAAAATGAAACGTAAGTTATTATTTATAATGAAAAAAAAATAAGATTATATTTAAATAAAATGGAATTGATAAAAAATAAGTTTAAATAAATTTTGAACGATGACTAATTTAAATAAAATTATTATTATTATTACGAAATGTAGTTAATATCTAAAATGATAAAATTAAAATTCTAAAAATTATATTAATTTAACATGAGTTTTTTTTATAAATTAAGTTGGAATAAAATGCTGGTGATTACTTTAAATAAAATTTAACTAAATTAATTAATAATTTGAATTGGTAAAATTATTTTAAATTGAGATTTGGTTATTTAATGTTAATATATATAAGTTAAGATGTGAGTAATTTATTAAAAAATATGTATTTATTGATGAAAATAATTTAAATTAAATTGTACACCATAAAAGAAAACCTATAGTTTTGGCATCTATAATTCTTTTTTCCGATACAATAAAGCACCCCAAAACAAACATAACATAAATGTATGTATTACTATGTGTTTAAATTTTAGCGTTAGAACGGTAGGAAGTTATACTGTTGATTTATTTTAAATAATCTTAATTAAAAAGCAAGGGAATTATTTTAAGATAAATAAAATAGTTATATTTTAGTAAATTCTTTTAAGTGCATTAATATTTATTTTTTTCTTTTGTTTCTTCGTCTCTTTAACACACGGAAGACTCCCTTTTTCAAGTTATTGTATGAATTTAAATTTTTTTTTAATATATATAGGTTTTAATTTATGCACTATTCTCTTGAACTTAAGACATAAGTTTGTGTTTTCTTTTCGATTTGTTAAAATGTTTACGACAACTTGTAAACTTATTTTATAATATAAATACTTCTGAAACTTTCACAAATACGTAGCACAAGTCCTAATACTTTATTCTTTAAAGCATATTCAATTTTCTGACTATGCAAATGCATTGTACGAGATAATACAGTTTAAAAAAAATTGTTTTTCATTTCAATTTTGTTTTTTACTTTTTTCTTTTAAAATTAGATTTTTTTTTTTTACATCTTTTATCTCCTCATAGTTGCATACCTATCTAAGGGTGTTGCTTCCTCCACCACCACAGCCTTCTCCCTCCACCTCCCCTTTACTATTTTGCCCCTCAGTAAAATTTTACTTTTAGAATTATTGTTTTTTAATTTTACTCATTTATAACATATTTTACTGATAACCTACGTAGTTCCTTGTATGAGTAAAATATTTTTCTGCAAAGCTCAGTGATCGTGAAAAGAATTATCAAGCAATCTTCCTCTTCCTTTCGGTGCAGTACGTGGTGCAGTGCGTTTGTGGTGTAATGTGCTTGTCGTGGTTCCTCTCCAGGTACGTAGTCATAATCCTTCCAATAATCCTAAACCCTAAACCCTTCCAATAATCCTAAACCCTAAACCCTTCCAATAATCCTTCCAATAATCCTTTAACCCTAAAACGTAAAATGAAAACGAAGCCTAAACGGATGACATCCTTCAACGGATGTCAACATCCGTTTAAGGCAAAACGGATGTCGACATCCGTTTTGCCTTAAACAGATGTTGACATCCGTTTAAGGCAAAACGGATGTCGACATCCGTTTTGCCTTAAACAGATGTTGACATCCGTTGAAGGATGTCATCCGCTTTGTTTTAATTTTATGTTTCTGTTATTATTTTATTAGATATTTTAATATTTTGATTTATTATTTTTGAATATCTTTTTAATGTATTTTAATAATGTATATTTATATTAGTTTATATTTAAATATTAAAATATTAAAATAATAAAATAATAAAATAATAAAAATAAAAATTTTTAACTTTAAGGATATAATTGGAATTAAAGATAATTGGGGAGGTGGAGGAAGAAGGCTCTGGAGGTGGAGGGAGCAACACCCCCTATCTAAATACGAAACCCAAACCCATTTTGACAACAATACAGACTACAAGCAAGTTTTCTATTTGCACACCTTTTTATCATTTCATGCTAACTATTTCGAAAATTTGGGGGCTTAAATTCACTTTTTCCTTCCTATAATTTTGCATAATGTTCAATTATTATTTTAGAAATTTTTAATTATAAATTTGGTCGTTCTGTTTTCAAAAAGATAAACTGTTTTTACCGAAAATGTTGTGTACATGTGTAAGTAATAAAATGTCAACTAATCATTTAGGATGATTTTAATAGAAGAATGATGCTCCCTCCACCATCCAATCTTCTCCTCCATCTCCCTTTTTTTTTTAATTCTAAATTCTAAATTCTAAATTTACCCTTTTTATTTTTACCAATTTTACTTTTTATTTTTTAAAACCCTAATCCTAATCCCCTCTCACTTTCACTTTCCTTTTCACTCTCAGTAGCAAGCCCACATTCCCCTCTGTCGTTTTCTCTCTTTCTCTTAATTTTCACTTCAGTTAACACAAAATTTGATAGAGAAAGAAAAAGATAAACTTAACTAACTATTTTTTCTTTTATTCATTTTTATTTTGTACTCATCAAACATAGTTATCTTTCATTGCACCATTGTAAGCACAAAGGTAATTTTAAACATAAAATTTCAAGTTTGGTTTTTTAAAGACAAGGAAGTAGGGAAGAAATGTTTAGCAAATTATATTATGGAATCATGATACTTCAAAACGGAAGTTATAAATGTTTTAAATTTATATAATGTAGAATTAGTTTTTTCTGTCAAATTTTGTGTTAACGGGAGTGAAAATTAAGAGAAAGAGAGAAAATAATAGTTAGGGTTTTAAAAAATAAAGATAAAACTAATAAAAATAAAAAGTAAAAAAGATAAATTTTGGATTTAAAAAAATTTGAGGAGGTGGAGGGAGAAGATGTGGTGATGGAAGGAGCATCACTCTTAATAGAAAGGTTTAATAATAAATCTTAATACGTATTCGGATATGCTAATATTTCTATCAATAATTGAATAATATAGTTACATGAAATAACATTTATTAATTAAAAAATTGGTGAATCAAATATTTTATTAGAATTTTATAAGGTTTAAAAAACAAATTTGCGAAATTTTAAGAATTAAAATTGAATCGAAGCCAATTTTGAAAAGTGAGGGTTAATAGAAATATGGGGTGCCAATAGTAATCCTTTATTTATATGAAAGAAGGCCCAATGTTAAACCTAGTTCATTGACGGAACCCAATATTGACCTCTCTGATAAATGGGTTTACGTATTTTTAAAAGCTTTCACTTCATATACTCCACAATTATTTTGTGCACCCTTTTAATTCTGAAACAAGTTTTTTGAAATAAGATTTTTGGAATTTTTTTCTGAAATGCATATAATATACTCTGAAGAATTTTTCTGAAACAAACTTTATAAAATATGCCAAATGAATTATGAAAAGAGTTTTTTGAAATGAACTTTTTTTTTCGTATTTTTTTTTCTGTCTTTGCAGCAGTGGTAGTAATGAAAGTAGTGGTAGGAACGGTGGTATGGTATAGTAATAAAGGATATTTTAGTCTTTTCGGACACGCAGTTAGTAATTGTGGGGTTAAGGAAGTAATTCCCATCTTCAAAACAAAAACTAGGCCCCACCATATAATTGCGAAGAAGAAGCTCGGAGTCGAAGACAGGAGAGTAAGAATGGGCTCGGTGGCAGCGACGGTGGCGTCAATGTTGTTCTCTGGTGGCTGCCGGAGCCTCGCGGTGCCTGCAGCGGGGCGCTCCCTTAGTATCTCACGGACAGCACTTAGAAATCACCGCAACAAGAACGCGCCGACATGGTGCTGTCGGAGTTCACACAACAGTTACAATGCACTCGCCACTGAATCTGAATTCTCAAAAACCGACTCCGAAAGCTTAACTGCTTCTACATCTTCCGATAGGTACCTGAACATTCTCAAGAGTTCGCGTCGAGTCTCCAATAGTTAGTTCCTTTCCACTATCTTCACGTTTTGCTTGATGCTGAACTTGCTTCTGTTTAAGTTTCCCGAAGTATGATCGATTGCTTCCATGTCCGTTGCAAAAAACTCCACCGAGAGTTGAACACTTGGTCGTGTCCGAAGGAGGACCAGTTTTAGAACATATTTGCAAGGCTCTGGAACTTCCTCCTTTGTAAGCGTGTTTTCTATGCCTCTGCATGTCGTAAGATATTATTTTCTCATATTTTCTTCACGCAAGTAATATTAAATGCTATGCTTCATTTTGTAAAGGTACGTTAAGGATCTGATTCAATTTGGAGCTGTATACTACGCTCTTGTTTGTCCACAGCCTCCTCCCAGTGCTACTGAAGAACAAATTAGGGTATTCAAAGAGGTAACGGAACCTTCGGTATTGTGCCAAAGAGCTTCTATCAAAGGCAAAACTGTGCGAGAGGCACAGAAAACTTTCCGTATAACTCACGCGGATCAATTTGTTGAGCCTGGAACGTATTTGCGAGTCCATGTGCACCCCAAACGCTTTCCTAGGTACACTCAGAGCGTTTGTTGGAATGAATTTATATTTTAGATTATTTTGGGAAGATGTTATTTGACATTTTAAAGCCTTTTTTAGGTGTTATGAGATTGACTGGAGATCAAGGATCATAGCTGTGGCGGAATCCTATGTAGTTTTGGATAAACCTGCTGGTACATCAGTATGTAATCAATTCCACATTACAAAATCAAAGTTTATTAGTTCTCGTATATGTGCACAGCACAATGTTTCTGTAATTATTTATGCTTGATGGTGCCGGATCCTGTAGTGAGTCAAAATTGATATTTAGATCAGGCTAGATGATTATCGACTGGTTTTTTTACAAATTTGTTTGTATCAGTCCTCAACTTTCACTGTTTGTTCTAACTTTTTGGTTTTACAGATGTCTCAGATTCAGCATACTACAATCGTAATTCCATTGCGTCTAACATTAAGATTGGCCAGATAGTTGAATCTGTTGGTGGTAGGACACAGTTGGTATTGGAATTTAGGAGGCTGAAATTTAGAAAATAGGTTTTCAAATGTGATTTAAGGTTTGAGGGATAGTTAGTAGAAAAGAACAAAGGTAAAAATATACTAAGCCGAGATTGGTTTAACGTGTCAGATCCGCATCTGCAATTAATTTATGTCCAAATTGTGCCAATGATGTACCAGAAGCAACTATACCATGCTTTAAAATTGACGTGCCTTAGGGCCTTCTAACACCCAACCAAACACAGTAAGTTGGAGTTCTCTTTATATTGCCAAGGGAAGATTAGATTTCGAGTCTTGAAACCTGAGAATGTATAGTTTTAGGTTTGCAAGTGATTCATTGGAAGAGACTAAGAAGAAGTCGGATAGTTTCTATGTGGTTGTGATCCTGCATGTCACGAACCCAGATTTTGATCCTGCTCTAAATGAAATATTGACGGATCAAGAAGTTCCATCAAAGTCTAACAACACGACTGTTTTGTGTTCCCATCCTTACCAGCAGAAATCTTCATGATTCGGTTGAATCATCTGTCATGGTATCTACTTATACATGGGGATACTGTGGTAATTGAGGAAGACGAAGGAGTCATGGATGTTCTCCATGCTCTTATTGTAAAGGAATGTGCTATACTCAAAAGAGCTACTTCCCTTTACACAACTTCCCTTTATTGTGATATGTTTACACGATTAAATAATTAATTTCTTAGGATTTTTCCATAATTTATTTTTTCAAATCTTGGTTAGGTAGGTGGCACCACTGACAACATTGAAGAAAGTTGTGCAACCTTTGCTACTCGTGCCTTGGGATTGACAGCCCCTTTGATGACTACTCATCAAATTGATAATTGCACTGAAGGCTGGTACTGCATTTATGTTAAAAGCAATTTGAGCTCTTTGTCATTCTGACTGTCATAGATTGTAATGGAATGTCATTACGTGCAGTGTGGTGTTGGCTAGGACTAAAGAGTATTGCTCTGTCTTTCATGGTAAAATCAGGGTATGTCTATGATCCCATTTCATATCTTATGCCAGAATATCCTTCTTCTACTTGAATGGGCACACTCTTATAAGCCATGAGCTATCTAAACTTGTGAGACAGGGTTACAGCACGATATGGTTACTTTTTAATCAATCGAAAGTAAAAATTGATTGTAATTGAAATTTCATTGTTTGTATGTTACTGAGTACTTGTGCAATCAATATTTTTCAGGTGAAAAAGGTGAAGAAGCTCTATCTGGCTCTTGCATCTTCTCCTATGCCAACGGGAATCATTACCCACTACATGCGTCCTATTAACATGGCTCCTAGACTTATTTCTGAAGGTAAACACATGAGTTTGAGGGATTAGCAATAGAAGTAGCTAATCGTGCTTTCATTGACTATCTTTAGCAGCATGCATGCCTCATCATGGTATTGGTGGCTCATAAGCTTAATTTTAGACATTAGATTTGGCTGTTGAGAATAATATATTCGTTTCAAACTATTTGATGGAAATTGAGATGTCATTTACCCCTTAACCAAATACTTTGGTTAGGTGCATTACCTTAGATGGAAATTAGTTCCTTAATGAACACACGTGATTGTCTGATATTTGACCGAGTATAATTTGAATTGTTTAGCCTTGCCTAGTGTAATGCAGCAGCATGATGTGTTATTATTTGACTGAGTAATTTTAATGGACAAGACAGTTCTATCAAATATGTGTGAGCTTTGTAACTAGGGTTAAAAGTTTCAAAAAAGGGTCTTGTATTGTGGATTCAACCCATTGTGTTGATTTGAATGCAGATTTTATCAAGGGATGGCATATGTGTCAACTTGAGATCCAGGAATGCAGAAAGGTTCCCTGGCCAACTCCTGCTATACAGGACAAATACCGTGTTGAAGATTGTGGGTGGCCTTATCAAGATTTTGCCTACGAATGCAAAATCAACCTTCTTACTGGTCGTACACATCAGGTCTGTTTAGTGTTCATTTTATGTATTGTTTGCATTTTTAGTGAAGGGTCCTGTTTTAATACGTATGTGTTGGCAGATTATAACAAATAATAGTTGATCAATTAAAAAACTTAATGAAGATATAGTTGAATGATATTTCTAATCCTCAAGTAAACTGATAAGCAGTTCGTGGTCTACTTCATTCTACATATTTTTTTCTTGATCACTGCCATTGTTAGTTAAATGTATATACTGCTGTTGCCATTAGTGGGTCTAAATATCAGAATACACTTTTTCCAAGGAGGATTTTAATTTGAAAATATGTTCCCTCTTTATTTTGGTGGTTATATCTCCCAAAATCTGGTATCAACCACTTAAATGTTGCGTTCTTTTTATACATTTGGCAGTTTTCGAAAACAGATTATTTGGATAAACATCTCTATAAGTAATTTTAAGAGAGGAAAATAAAAAAAATGGAATAAGTTCTTTCCATAATCTAAAATTAGTTCATGTATGAGTTAATTTTTAAATTATAGGAGATACTTATTTATTTATTTTTCTTTTTTTTTAGTGTTTATTAAGAAACTTATCAGAATGGGGCCTAATTAGAGAATCTTGGAATTTCTTTTATTTGATCATCTTTAAAGAGAAAGAAGCTATGTTTTGTACATGAATAGTAACTAAAATTTAAATGCAGATTCGAGCTCAATTTGCTGCGTGTAGAGCACCAGTAATTGGTGATTCTATGTATATGCCAGCTGCAATTGCGGATATGAGTAATCCTGGACTTAACCCATTTGGAAAATACAAGAGAGATTTCAGTAGTGAGAGTGAGAAAGAAACGGCTGTTGTAAATTGGATTGCACAACATGGAAAAGAGCCAGGTGTTGCAATTGGCCTTCAAGCATGTCAAATTTCATGGGATGATAACGAACACTTCTACGAATCTGGTTCACCTTGGTGGAGGTGTTAAAATGCTTGAAATGTGTGCTAGTGTTGAGGATAGGAATTCACCTTTATAGTTATGTTTTCATAATGCCTCAGTTTTATGTGAGTATACTATCATTCATTCTGATTGGAAGACTTTGAGATTTTCAGGTTTGAAAAGGGAAACCCAAATAAATGCAAAAGAGGAGGACTTCATGCAGGGTTTTAAAATGTGCATGCTGTCATTGTAGCACATTTTCTAGCAGAGTAAAGTCTGAACAGGTAAGCTAGAGGATAAGACATTCACTGATAAAGGAGTATCTTTTGAGAAGATAATTTAGCTTTATATATTTTACTATGAGATTGAAGAACTGAGATAATGACACAACTCATTAGTAACATGTGATTAGGCCGTTAATGTCTTAAGCTCACATCAACCACAAAATTGTTTGTATTGTATTTTGCCAATCTCTGTATCGTGCTGGGCCAGGATGACTATCAATTGCTTTTACTAACGTGCTAATGATTTTAAAGTTCTTTCTCTTCAACTATTTTAATCAACATCGTCAATATTTTAACAGAAATTTAATTTTGCATAGGTAACATGTAATGCTTGTCAATTGTTCATCAATTATTTTAAGGTTCAACTAGTTCATATGATTACAGGGATTTCTAAGAGTATGTCTAGCTGTTACTCGTTCTGAAACATCACCTATCACTTTGTCCATGGGCGGTCCTTTATTGTTTTTCACTCCTAGGCAGTGACCTATGTTTCATTTGACTTGTATTTTCAGTCCTTTCTCTTTGTTCAATGTCGTTGAGATCATCAACATTCTTGTACTGTAAACTATGCATTTTTACTAGTTGGTGCATAAGTTAAGAATATAGTTTCATATAATTTTGCTTCAACTTTCTCAAGATTATTATTGTCATAATTCAAAACAAAACATTTGCATTCAAAGGTGTGGGAATGAGACGTGTTAATCTTTCTTCCCCGGTAAACCTCATAGGTGGTTTCATTAAACTAGGTCCGGTGAGGATCTTAATCATGACATAGTGGTATTTACTGCAGCAATCACAAACTATATACTTAATTTTCATTTAATGTTGTTCTAACTAACTCTTTTTAGAACCTACATTTCCTTTGCATTTTTCCATTTGGTTGACAACTGTTGAAAATTTATGATTAATTTTCAAAGTCATTTTGCGAGTCTGCGTGTGATCACTTCCTATTGACGCTCTTTTTTGCTTGGTTTTGAAAAATTCCTACATTCGTAAATGCTCAAGGGATTCTGAGAGTCCATGTGAACTTTGTAGTCATCAATAATGCATAATTAAAATTTCTGCAATGTTACTGATTTGAGAAGACGAGTTATCTTATTATTATGAACGAGCAATATGTTCTACAAGGAAACGAAAAGCAATAGGGGAAAAAAGAAAATGCACACCTGAGATTATACAACACTGCAGAGAGAATCGGAAGATAAAGTACTGACGAGTTTATTAGGAGGAATTGAAGTAATTGAAATTTTCTATAAATGGATAGATCAAAGTTGTATATGAAACCACTTGATCGTTATTTGATATGATATGCAGACAACTTTTTAATTACTGGGCACAACACATACAAAGACAAAAGTGCATGAACTAGTTTGTTAAAAGAAAGGTAAGTAAATATAAAAGATAGAAAAGGATGCAACGAAGTGGAAATATATATTTACATAAACAGGTATTTCTTAAATTAAGACAAGTTCTCATTTTATAATTATTTCTAAATTCTAATATCTTTTATAACATTATATCCTTACAGAAGAATACAAATGAAGTCAAATTCTTATCAAGAAAAAATTAATAATATCTATAAAATAAATAATAGTCATTTTAGTGAAACCCAAAAATATACCATTTTTAAAAATTTTTGTGTAACATTCATAATGTTGACCCTATCACCATCATCATTTTCTTCTAAATTTCAATCATCCATATATATTTAATAAAATATGACTTTGAATCGACCTATATACAAATAATAAATCCAAATTGTTTGTTATAGATCACAAATGACACTTACAAAAAGATTGGGCCCCAAAAGTCTAAAGAAAACTACAACAATAAGTACACACTTAAACTTTTCCACCCCATTAATTTCTTGTCTCGCCTATATTTGACAAAGTCCATTCCAAAATAGGTGAATGAGCGGGACGTGACTAAAAAATTAAAGAGGTATTGTACTGGACAATATATCACAATAAAAAGAAAAAAAAAGCAAAAGAATTACGAGTAGACTTTCATCCATATGTGAGCATCTTCTGCTTCCGTTTCAGTGGCCCATTAATAATACCACGAAGGAAAAGAACTGCTTTTATTCTTCCATGACAGAAAACCATATACCATTCCATTGATTCTTTGTCACTCTTGAGTGTGTAGAGGCTTGGCGCCAGGGCCGAAGCCATGAAGAGCAATGAAGGTTTTGTACCAAGAAGCAGACATTCTTGGAGTTCTTTCCAGAGTGTCATAGTCCACACGATGAAGTCCAAACCTTATTTCGGATCCATCAGTCCACTCAAAGTTGTCAAGCAAAGACCACAAAAAGTACCCTCTCACATCTACTCCTTTCCTGTTAATGCAACAAACAATTTCTTAACCAACAAGGGTTATCATGCATGTTTTCTTTCTAATTACTTATTTCATAATATTTGATCAACAAAAAAAAAATGTGCAAGTTTGGTTTGTATAACTTTCGAACAAAGATGGGTATGTCAACACCTTATTGCTGTTACCAAGGCATCCAAATAAGCACGTACGTAGTCTATTCTGTCCTCATCATTGATCATTTCCTCAATGGTGAGGTTGGGTTCTTCCTTCCACCCAACTCCTGCGCAAGACAATATATACAGTTCAAACCAAGGAAGGAATATAAACAGTTTTAATATTGTTAATCTCCATTTAACACAGCCAGCATGGTTTTATCTATTATTTCTAGTTGGAAATCTTTGTTTTGTTCATATTAATAAACTTGTAAGAATTAGCTTAACAAAATATGTGTAATAATGTTAGAAATGTTTTGTTTGTAGATTGGAGGGAAGAGTGATCGGTATTTGTACTCACCATTTTCAGTAACGAATATTGGTATCTTGAACCTCTCCCAAATGTAAGTCACAATCTTCTCCATTCCTTCTGGGTAAATGAACAACCAGTCAAGTGAAGTCTGCATGCATCAACTCATAACGATTAACATTATTTTCCAAACTGCAGGTGCACGGTCTTCGATCTAGAAAAGCTATAACACAGGGTTTCATATATACACACCGGTTTTCCAATGGTCCTGCCATTGACATGAGCCCATGTTAGAGCAGAACCTTCTGTCCTTGTAGACCCTAGTCCTGGTTCACACACTGAGTAGAGACAGTCCTTTACAAAGTAACTGGTATAGTGGTTTACTCCAATGAAATCTATTGAAGGTTTTATTCTTTTTAGGACTTCTGGAACTGGTGGGAGGTCGTCTCCTAATATTTCACGCATTTCTATCGGATAATCCCCTCGGATAGCTGGGTCCAAAAACCTGCATGTTTCACCAGCATAAACAATTTTGATGCATGCATTCATTCAATGACAAAATATAACAAAGGCATTTACCAATTCATATAAAATGCTTGAGCTCTCTCAAGAGCCATCTTGTCTTCTGTGGAGTTGCTGATGGGTTCAAACCACATGGTATGCGAGGCAAGTCCAATTTTCCCTCCCTGAATTTTCTGTCATTCAAACCTTGCGCGTAAGATTGCTGATATTTGGACACTCTTAATTCACACTATCTATTCCTCTCCCTCTGTCTTTTATAAGTTACCTTAGTGTTCCAGATCGCAGATGAACTAGAAATATGATTAACTATCAATAAATACAAATTTCCACTGCATAAATTAATACCTGATATTTGGTTCTGTAGAGCTCAACGATAGAGCCATGGGCTAAGAGAAAGTTATGGCCTACAATGAAAGGTTCCTTCTCTGAGTTCCCACCAACGCTGCAATTCCCAAATGAACCAGAGCAACGACCAGGTGGCCATATCCCGATTCTATAGCCACGAATAAATGCAACGTTTGGTTCATTAAATGTGATCCAGTATTTCACTCTGTCACCGAAGTTCTTGAAGCATACGTCTGCATAATACGTGAAATCCTTCCTACAGAAATCAACGTATATTTGTGAGCATACTCTTTCATTATACTTTTATTATGTGTTCATATCAGAACTACTTACGCAATCTCAGGACTTAGCCAACCGTCATATCTATCCACAGCTTCTTGAGGAATATCATAGTGTGATATTGTCACAAAAGGTTCTATTCCTAAAACAAAACAAGAAAATGAAGAGAGTTAGAGATAGAAAAAGTACAGAATAATAATAATGATATCAAAAGAATGAAACCTCTGGAGAGAAGTAGATTAATTAGCCTGTTATAGTAATCAATGCCAGCCTGATTCACCTTGCCGAATCTACCCTCTGGATCAAATTTACAATGCAGCGGTTAGAGATATAAAAAAGTAAATGCATTTGTTAAATAATGTTTTCAGCTTTTGGTGAAAATTAATCATTATATTTATAATTTTTTTTCAAATAAGTTAATCAGTTAAATATTTGTATGTTCTACTGATAATAAAACTAATGCATTATTCATTGTTTGAGAAGGTTATTTTAATGTGTGGGTGTGGGGATGAAATTGTAGAATTAAAATTTAAAAATAAAAATTAAACATTTAAGAATTTAAAATAAAAAGTGTAATTAATTTGTTAATTAAAAGAAAACTTACTGGGCAGAATTCTGGTCCATGATAATGACATGCGATAACTGTTCACTCCAATGTGTTCCATAAGATCCACATCTTCCTGTTTTTCAAGTGATATATCCATCCAATAGTAAGTTGGATTGAATCAATAGAACTACGACCAGTAAAAAAAATATATTTTCCAAAATGATATTTCAAATATGTCTAAAAATGTTTATAAATATATATTTTTGAAAATGTCTAAACGACCATTTTCTACTTTTTTTTTTTTTTTTATTTCAAAGAAGCTCGTCATTTTCAAACGCTTTATTTATATTTAGTTAGACTAATGTGAAGTTGTGTCGATTGGTTATTATTGTTACCACGAAATTCATGATCTCATCCTATAACTTGCGGGAACCCTCACCAACTAACCAACGAACAGAATAATATTAAATATATACATACTTAATTAAATTAAGATTTTTAATATATAGAATTAATTAATGAAAAGTATTTAACTAAATAAATTGAAAGAATTACTATTTTTACATGCTAAATTATTCAGTTATTTTTTATAATTATATTTTGGTTATTATATATATATATATTTAAATATTTCTAATAATTTTTAGTTAATTTTCAATTTAATTAAAAAAAAGTAGGTCAATAAATTCCGTCACTATGCACCACACTACCGGCTTAATGTGAAAAGACAAGACGTTAATGCAGGATGGCCCATATAGGTACACACATTCAATGTAGCGTGAACATCCGAAACTTCCT